TGCGTACAGCCAGACTTTTGACCGCTTCGTCTTGGGCATTTTTAATCTGTAGCTCTGCTCTAAAAGTACGTACGTACCTGGGCACGCCTACTATCCTTGGAAAAGTGTATGACATCTCAGGAAAAAAAAGCACCGAAATAAAGCACCGAAATGTGCTCTGCTTTTCGGTCTGGTTACTACCGTTTATGTCAGAACCGGTGCCATACCGGTACCCATCCCTATCCATGAATGTGCTTTTAAGTGCAAAAAACAAGTGTTTTGCTGAACTGCTAGTAATGCCTGGATTGCTCTACCTTGTTTTTCGTGTTTTTGGGAACATGCTAACTCAGGAGTGGCGTCACTCCCGAGTTCTGTGGTTTCTGGAATGCAGCGTTAACCCCTAGTGGGGATTGCGGTCTTTGGAGGTGGTCTTGACCTATCGATCATGTGAGTCATCACATAAGCCACGGTGTGAAGAAAGGCGTGTCATTAGCATAACCAGGGGTTAAAGGTGAAACCAATGTAGGGCCTTGCCCCACTCTATGATATTGCCTATTGAGATTTATTTAGGTGAGGTGTGAGTGTTGGAGTTAAAGAACCTGGGAGGAGGTCTTAAGACTGCATTGTAAGTGGCTGATAGCTGGTATCATAAGCCACCACCTCTATTCACCTTTTTGTTTTTTACTTAAGAAGCCTCTTGGATGAGAGATAACATGTCTTTGCAAACCTCAAAAAGTAGATTTGCCTTCTTTATACCAGCATATAAGACGATGAATAGCCTAGTAGTATCTCATGACCACTGGATCAATAAAGGCAGTAAATATAGTACCTGTAGCTTCATCAGCATCCCTCTATCACTAACCAGTATCTTCTCTGGTTGGATAATCCAGGAATAGAGGCCTGGTGTCTTTGATGTGTTTTTTTTCTTAGTGTTGATGTAGCAGCAGCTATTTGAAAGCACATTTATTTTCTAATGCCGCATATTTCTCTCATATCTACTGCTTCAAAGTGGAATTAGACATTTGAAGTTTCATTCTCTGCTCCAGGAAAAAAAAACACTTGAATACAGTGTTGGTGCTAATGATGTGGCGTTATTGTATAAACAACATAATAGCATTCTTATAGACAGATGATATTCCTAGAGTAGATTGATGCCTGATGCCAATTTTGACTTAACCTTGAATTGCACATGACATTGAAAGTGGTCCAGTTGGACCAATCAGAGGATAGTGAATCATTATCCTGCTGCTCGAGTTGGAAATCCCTACTTATCGTGGTTACAGAATGCCTGACTTATAATAAGCGAGGGGAAAAGAGCAAAACTGCATAAATGATTGGCTTGTCTGCAAATGTCTCTACTCAGCATTTTAACATTTGCATCTGTGGTGCGGTGATATAGTGATCTTTAGTAATATCCATCAGTCTCACAATAGCAATATTACATAATTTCACAATCTCCACAATAAAAACTTTGCTTGTTTTTTTGTTTTGTTTTTTAGTATAAATTAAAATCCACAGTATGCAAATTGCAATTAAAGCGTTCATCAGCGTTATTCAACAGCTAAATGGTTTCCATGTCCTCGCCATATTGGATTTTAAGTTCATTCTTTTGGAATTGGATTTGAAAAGGATCTGCCGAAGGATGAAAATGTTCATGGTTCTTATCAGCTGGCTTTCTTTAATTAGTTTATTCATGGTCTCTCACACAAATTACTATCTGACTTTGTCTGCATTACCTCCACTGCCATATGTCAGCTAGACGCTGGTAGATGGTGGGAGGGGCCGGCCGTTTTAATTACGGAGTGGGTCCGAGGCACACCAGTAAAAACCTCGCTGCTGTTGGCAGCAAACGGTGCATGAAGGTGTTCTCCGGGCCACATGTTTAATAGGACTCTAAAGTTTTCATTGTCATGGCTCGTAGTGGAGAGTCCATCTTTTACCAGAATATTGAATTCAGAGATGCTTTGCAACAGCTTAATGATTTCTTTGTGTTATTTGAGGTCATGTTGCATGGGGCAGTGACTAAATGTATCCTTATGCCCATCACAGTCAGAGCAAAAAGCATGTGTTTGTGAAATGGGCGTGTTTGCATTTGACCTGCAGTTGGGTGAGGTCAGTGTTTATCTTTGTTTATAACGGTCGAATCCTTGATCAAGGTGCTTTCACATGTTCCTGTGCTTGTGTGATTTTTAAGCAAGCAGCAGGTGGAGAAACAGAAGGAGAGAGCGGTCTGGTGTAATTTGGCAAAAATTGTATCGCAGCTTAATCAACCTTTCTACACTTTTATAGTCCTCCTGTCACTGTCAGAGCACTATAGGTCAAAATCCATGTATTACCTGTGAGCTGCTTGACATTTAGCTCAGTTCAATTTTATTTATATAGCACCAAATCACAGCAACAGTCGCCTCAAGGTTCTTTACATTGTAAGGTACACTGTACAATAAATGGAGAGAGAACCGCAACAATCAGGTGGCCCGCTGTGAGGAAGCACTTGGCGATGGTGGGAAGGAAGAACTCTGTTTTAACAGGAAAAGCTCATGGAGGGTCAGCTATCTGCTGCGACTGGGTGAGGGAGACGAGAAAAACGCCAGGATCCAGATTCTTCAGAGCTCCAATATCGGAACTCGGGAGTGATGTCGTTCCAAAGTCAGTGCATTCTAGAAAAAACATGGAAAAACAGGTTTTGCTTTGGTTCTTAGCAAGATAAAGAAATTAATTTAAGATTTATTCTGAATATCAGCAAGAATATCACACACACTGGTTCCCTAAACAACTACGCAACAACGGAGGGATTAAACAGTATTTTGTAACAGTTTTCAGTGCGTGTTTGCTGTCTGCTGTCCATACGCCACTTCACTATATCTTAAACCTCAGTGTAGCTTTATTAAAAAAACCAAAAGCAGCTGGTGTAAATATCCTAATGTTCAGTTTCAGAAAAAACGGTTAGACACACTCGCTTCATAGAAAAATGATTGGAGGCTATTTTACCATCAAACCAGCAGTTTTAAAAAGGCACAGTGGAATTGGACTAATTATATAGTTAAGGGGTAAAAACCAGATAAAAATGAACTTTTTTGTGTTGTTGTTGTCATTTGTTCATAAACTAGTTTCCTCACTCGCATGTCCAAAAAAGTCAGCTCTCCCTATTACCCTGTTAATATTTGAGGCACAGCACTCCCACCCTCCCCCATCTGCCGAGGCATTTATCTGCTTCCCTTGTGGTCATCCCATCTGTACGTCAAACATTCCCAGTCTCCCATTATCCCCACCGACCCTCCACTCCCTCTATCCTCCTCCTCTTCATTCCTGACCCCCCCAACTCATGACACCACTGCCTCTCGTCCTCCCGCTGCCACTGCTGCTCCCGTTCTCCCTCTGTATCAGTCTTTGTCTTCCTCTTCTTTTTTTCCTCCCTGCCAGTTACAACGATCGG